AGTCAAGTGCAGAGTCAATTAACAATGGTCCCAGGGTATGATCGGGAAAGCACATGGAGCCATTTGGTAAAGCTGAGCATGTCTGGATCTGGTCAGTACCTGGACAGGTGACCTCTGCAAACCACATTTATGCCAAATACAAATGTAAGAAAATAGTCACAAATAATTGAATAAAATGCAAAGTAAATGGGATGTCATTGGTAGGACTGTTGGGGCTTTTGGCTGGCTGGAATGACTCCTCAAACTCTCATAATGCCGATTGCTTGCCTGAAAGAAAGATGGAGAGGTGTATGGCTAGGTGTGTAGAAGTTTATTACACAGAGTGAAGAATCACATTCACAGCTCTGCGCACTTTTGTCTCTGTTTCCACCCACCACAGGCATTTGGCTCCCAGAAGCTTGTCAGTGAGGGAATGTGGCCTTCAGATTGAAAAAAGATTTCCCATCCCTGTTTCTACGTGAGCAGGAATTCTGAATACACAGGTAAGGCAATAAGTTTCAAGAGACCATTGTGATGAATATAAGATCTGGACCCCAGCATGCAACACTGAACGACCTATTCAAAGGGACCTTATATGGTGTCTCTCTCCCTCTCGCCAACCAACTTGACAACCAAAATGACAGGTATTATTTCCCTTTTAACAAAATGAGGTGCTCAGGTTGTTCCATCAAAATGGGTTCTTTACTCATCTTCATGTCAGGCAACAAACTTCTGTGCTTTTAAAGAAAGTACTGTGTTTTTGTTTTTTGCAGTTTGCTAAGTTTTCCTATCAAATGTTAGTCAAAATGCTATGAACTTTACTTAACTTTTCAAGGCCACTTTTCTGCATGTCATTAATCTACCCCCCAGGAGATGCAAAGGGCATTTTAATTTTCCCAGCAGGTCTTGTCTTGAAAGACAGAGATATGAGTTTATCTCTCTATCAAAGCAGCATTATGTTGGATGGAAGGAAACCATCAACTCTGTCTTACATATCCTCTGGAACAGAGAATGGCTGTCATCCTTCTTATCTAACAGGTATGACCATTTCTCCAATGTAAAGGGGGAAAAGGGCTGGTGATGAGATGTTCAGAGAAATTAGAAGCTTTGAGTGAAGCACGTGTGCCAAAGTGTGAGAAAGAGATGAGAATGATATTCTCCTTTGGAATATTTCAAAACAGTACTGTTGCTTTCTTAAAGTATCTTTTGAAGCTCTTGTACTAACGCAAAATATAATTTCAATAAGACTGAAGGCTTGATTGGTAGATATATCAACTAAAGTTTGTTAGTTGATTGAGTGAAGGTTGGTAACTCGAATTAGCAAGAGCCAAATGTGGCAGAGGAGCCAAGAGGTTATTAGGGGGGCTAAATTAGTTGCTACGAGTTTCTATAACAGGGAATCAATAAAAGTTAAGGAAAACTTTTTATTCTTACATTAAATTCAAGTTACATTGCACTTTAAAAGAATATATGAAAAGGAACCTGTGTTTCTTGTAAAATCACTATGGGATGTTTGATGGGAAGCAATGCAAAATGTTACAGAGGCTTGACTGTCCTCACTCAGAAGCCATGCATTTAGTGTCATTTGTCCTATGCTGTAAAGCAGGGACCTCCAACTCCCAATAGACTGCAATCTGCTCACAGTATACAAAAACTGGCAGTGATCTACCCATTGTTGTTGAGCTTTTTTGGGAAAGGCAAAATTGTTTTAGGAAGCCAAAATTGTTTTCCCCCCTTTGGGTGGTCAGGGGGAGGAGCTCACTGAGGGGCCCAAGATCTACCAGCATCTACCAGGAACACCCCACGATCTACCAGTAGATCACAATCTACCTGTTGGACATGCCTGCTGTAAAACACTCCCCAACAGAGACTGGGCAGGCATCCTCCCTTTTGACTTTTCAGATGTCTCTTAAAGACCTTTCTATGCCAACAGGCCTATGAAGTTGTTTAGCATGTTATTGAGTAGCCAATCATTATAACAATTGCTCTGTATTACCTTAATGGTTTTTATGTTTTTATATTGCACCATACTGCCCTGATATTTAATGAGATGGTGGTATATACCTTAAATACATCAATTAATAAATAAGAATAAGAATAAGAATAAGAATAAAGAATAATGAGCTATGGGTAACATTACATTATTTTAATGAAACTGACTAATTGGTTAAAGAGCTAAAATTATATTAAATTCGTTGATAATCCTATATTAAAATTATGCTTACCTATATTTAAAATTAAATAAAAGGCAGTACAAGGTTTTAAAAAGCATTTAGGCACCCTTTAATCATGATTATCATGCCTCTCCCCCCCCCCCCGCTCTGTCATTGCTATACATTTATATATTGTGATAGTATTATATGCCCTAATGTTGAAGTAGTGAGTGCCTCATCATTTACCATATACGGTAGCACTTTTAATTTGCACAGTGTTTCATAATCTTACAATGAGCACAGACACTTTATGGAATAGATTACTGCTCCCACTTTTCAGAGGCAGTGTGTTTTCCAGTGCCAAAAGATGGAGCATGAGTCTCTTAATCTCAGGGCTGCAGGCTTGAGAGCCACATTGGGCAAAAGATTCCTACATTGCAAGGGGTTGGACTAGATGACCCTCGTGGTCCCTTCCAACTCGACAGTTCTATGTTGCTATGATGCAAGTTCTCCAGGCCATAGTTCCAACCCGATCCGACAGGTTTGGTGTGAATTATTATGAGAGCATTGCATGGGTTAGTTATCCCTAGACCCTGCACTTTCTCTCTGAAAGTGCTATGTGAAGTAAAAATGCTAATCTGCATTCTTAGTAGACACTGAAGGATATGTTCCTCCTGCTACTGAATTCATGCTCCCCACAGTGCAGGTGGCAATGGAAGCAAAAGTCTGTCACAGGGCAGAAACTAGCATGGAAAGGGCCAGAGGGAGCACCTTAGTCATATTATTGTCTCTGATAATACTTGAAGCATTATCCCCAAGTTTCTTCAGATGCTGAAGTGCTAAAACATTTTGCTCAAGCTTTTAAATATATACACCCACCCATATGGTTGGAGCCCGTTATGACTGAATTCCCGTTTTTATAATATTCTTTTACTGGTTCTATGCTGTAGCTTTGTTTTTATGTATTCACTGTTTTATTGTATTTTGAAATAATAGGCAGCTCAGAAATGTTAACAAACAAACAAACAAACAAACAAACAAACAAACAAACAAACAAGATTTTATACCCCCTTTCCACTGAAGTACACAAGGCAGCTTACCTAAAATCAGCACAGTACCAAAATACAACCCCAAAGCAAAACGACATATTTTCCCTATGTACCCCTCAGCTAAGTTAGTGAAACTCTTCACAACGAACTCCTCACAGAAACTCCTCACAATGAAGCTGGTTTACCTTCAAGTTTTTACACAGTGGCTGGATATGGGGGTCGTCCCTTATGAAGTAGTCTCTGTAGCTACGGTGGAGCAGGTGAACAGGGAATCAAACAGAAACAGCTCTCTCGATTGGTTAACCTGGATTTTTTTAAAAAAGGTGAACTTGTGTATACATTCTTGGACTGTTAGGTGTACAAAATGCTAAAACTTTCTCTTTCTTGCAGATACCCCCCCAACTTTGTCACCCCTCCTTACATTTTTCTAGTGATAGCCATCATCTCATGGAAGTAAGTACTGTACTCACTATCATCATGATTTGCTAGCAGCTTTGGGGGGCAGAGAGGGATTATTTAAGAAACCAGAAAACAGCTCAGACTGCAATCCTAACTCTGCTTACTTTGGAGTGAGCCCCACTGAATTAAGTATGACTTCCTTTTAAATATACATGGTTAAGGTTGTGCTATAAACAAGCTCTCTTGTTCTGAGTTTTATATAAAAAATAAAGTATTATATGTGCATGATTGTGCTTATATATTGAGAGAAAGATAGAGCAAAGAAGGAAGCAGGGAAGTACCATAGTATTAAAAATACTTTAATTGCACACATATATACAGTGGTACCTCGGGTTACAGACGCTTCAGGTTACAGACTGCGCTAACCCAGAAATAGTACCTCGGGTTAAGAACTTTGCTTCAGGATGAGAACAGAAATTGTGCAGCGGCGGCACAGCGGCAGCGGGAGGCCCCATTAGCTAAAGTGCTGCCTCAGGTTAAGAACAGTTTCAGGTTAAGAACGGACCTCCAGAACGAATTAAGTTCTTAACCCGAGGTACCACTGTACACACACACCTCTGCCCCCATTAGTTTTTCACTGATTAAACATTTGTATAAGCTACTGTTTTATTGTTTTAAAGCTGTGACTGTGTAAATATCTTCCTGCTGGTTTATAGTTTAATGCAGAGGTGGATAACTGGTCGGCCCCATAGGTTGCTGGCCTCCTAACGCTCATCAACCCCAGTCAGTCAGTTGTCATGCATGATGGGAGTTGTAGTACAGCAGCATCTGGAGGACCTCAACTTCCCCAACTCTATTCTACTGACTGGTGTTCTTTATTCTGAAAGTTTTATTCTGTTTTAATACAAGTTTCAAAACTAATATATTGCATTATGAAGCATTGCATTGTTGTGTTTTATAGTTATATTCCTGTTCACCATCTTGAGTGCAAGTAATGCAGAAAGGTTGTGTGTGTGTGTGTGTGTATCATAGGACATTAATGGCAGACATTGCTGTTACATGTGGCACATCTCCCTTTTGCCTTCAGCAAGCAGGTTTTTCAGAATTTGTACTGTAAAGCTACTGATTCTCAATTTATTCACATCTCCAAACACTATATGCACAACTTGAATATATTCATATTATGCCAAATAGAGCCACTCATTTTTATTACCTGTATGACAACACTTGTGAAGGTTTTCAGTTGGATAAACGGTGATTATACAGAGCAGCGTTTCAGAATGGATGGGTTGTTAAGCACATTCACCTTCTCTTTCAGATACAGGTAACAGACAAAATCTGAGGGGAAACCTGCTCTTAGAGCAACTTCTCTGCTGTCTCCCTACTCAGATTGGCAAGTGCTGCTTCTGCATATATGAATATGAAAACAGAAGCAATGGTCAAGGGGAATCAGACAACAGTGACTGAGTTCATTCTCCTTGGTTTCACAGATCATCAAGAGACACAGGTAGTCCTCTTTGTGCTCTTCCTGGCCATCTATGTGGCCACCCTGGTGGGGAACATCGGCATCATGACGTTAATCTGGATCAGTCCCTCTCTGCACAGTCCGATGTACTTTTTTCTCAACAATCTGGCCTTCCTAGACCTCAGTTACTCCTCTGCCATTACTCCCAAGATGCTGGCCAGTTTCTTAACAGGAAGGAAAACTATTTCGCTTGCAGGATGCATTGCGCAAATGTATCTGTTTGCTTCCTTTGCAGATGCGGAATGCCTCCTGCTGGCTGCCATGGCGTACGACCGCTACATGGCCATTTGTAACCCGCTGCTTTATCCGGTTCTCATGTCACGCAAGGTTTGTGTCTGGCTAGTAGCTGGCTCCTATCTCACAGGTGGCATGAGCTCATTTATGCACACTTACTTTACATTCCGCCTCTCCTTCTGCAATTCCAATGTCATCAATCATTTCTTCTGTGACATCCCTCCTCTGTTGGCCCTCTCCTGCTCCAACACCCACTTCAATGAAATCCTGCTCTTTGCCCTTTGTGGATTCATCCAAACGAGCACTTTCGTGTTCATCCTTATTTCTTACGCCTGCATCCTTTGCACCATCCTAAGGATCCACTCAGCAGAAGGCCGCCACAAAGCCTTTTCCACCTGCACGTCCCACTTGACAGCTGTCACTTTGTACTATGGTACTCTTCTCTTCACATACTTGCGCCCAAGCTCCAGCTATACTCTGGACACAGACAAAATAATCTCAGTGTTTTATACTGTGATTTTCCCCATGTTGAACCCATTGATCTACAGCTTGAGAAATGAAGAGGTGAAGGATACCCTCGGCAAAATATTGCAAAGGAAAGTGATGGTACTCAGAGGTCGATAGCAAGATTTCCATTTGTTATTGGCGGCATAAACACCATCACTTGCCATACAGATTTGAATCTATGGATCCACAACAACAGAATGCTACACCCTTTACAGTACTTGTGGTTGTATTGTATTTAAGGTTGCCACACATCTGGAATTTTCCGGGCATATCTGGAATATTGCATTTGGAAGCAGTGGCTGGGTAGGAATCGCAAAAATATTTGGGAAAATCCAGACGTATGGCAACCCATGTCAGCAATATTGTTTTTGGCTATTTCCCTTAAAAATAACTCAGAAAACTTCAAAAGGGTTTGCCCAACAAATTTGGCCAAAACTCAAAAAGCTAAACAACTTTGGCAAAGGAAGAAGAAACTCAGCAACTTTTCTGGCTGGATTTTCACCATTTGGAATATGTTGACCCTAATAATATTGCTTCAATTCGGTTTTGCAGGTGATCATTACTTCATTTAAAACCATTTACTTAACCAGTGATATTTAGATGTTTAATGGCTGTGTGGGACATAGCAGCTTTCTAATGGAAAAGTTGGAGAACATTACATCTTTTGGAAGAGGTGATGAAGACATTTTCAAATAGATACACTGTGAGTCATATGATTTGTGGATCACGGTCATAAAGTTTCTCTCAGTTATGAAAACACTGTAAGTGCTCTGGATAAGAGTTCCTATAAACAATTTATTGGGACAGTATAAAATAGTATTTTCACTGAAGCTTTATTCAGAAATTGCTCTCTTCATGCTCAGAAGCATCTTACTGAAAACACAATGCTGGAATAGATGGACCTGTGGTTTGTACTGCCAGTGGTCACCTTCTAGACCTGGAGACACATTTCTAATCATTTTCTGAATTGCCATGAGTGCATCATGATTATATGTCACACACAGTTAGGAATGGGCCTAATGTTTCCCAGTGGACAATTCAGTGTAAAAGGGGGTGTTTCAGGGGTTGAGAGATCCCCATATGAGTATATTTAGGGTAGGCCCTTATGCATCATCAAAGAGGCGGACAAAAGAGGGCACATATTTGCATAAAATTAGCATCGGCTAATGCACACAGATAGAAATAATTACTATAATTTAAATAGAAATATGTCTCGCCATAGTGAGAAGGAATGTGACCTGTGTGCCTGCTCAATCTGTTGTGGTTCAGCTGTTGTTGATGAGGAATTTCAAGGCTTCCTCACCCTCTTCCTCCTTGTGGTTCTTTAAGCTGGACTCGACAGCTTTAAACAGTGGACTGTCCTCTGTAAAAGTAGGACACACAACCACCCTAGTCATATTTACCACCCCCAACAGGTGTTACTTGGGCATTTTTTTTTGTTCCCCTTTAAAATTTCCCTTTGCGATCCTAGTAATGGTGATGTTGCTGCCCAGCCAATCAGATTTGGTTATTTGAGGGCAAGCACAGCTAATGAAGAGCAAGTAAAGGTCTGAATTAGTTTGCTTTGCTTTTGGTGACATCGTCACATAGCCAGATCAGAGTGGCATTGGCGCTGTTACTGGTGGGAGATGGGCACTTTGATGACAAGCGCCACAGTAAAGCTGCAGCCATTTTCAGTAGCAGTAGCCACCAGTTATAGTGTTGCCATTGGAATAGGGCCAGTGAGCTAAGGACTGCCTCCTCAGTGAGTGGGGCCTGCCTAAATTGCTGGGACTTCTCTCTGTAAGGAGAAAAGGGGCCCTGATCACAAACGGTGAGTGGGATTTTTCCCAGGGGAGGAAACCACATAACCCCCATTATAACCCAGCCTTAAGGTAAAGGTCCAGTTGTGACCGACTCTAGGGTTGCGGCGCTCATCTCGCTTTATTAGCTGAGGGACCCGGTGTACAGCTTCCGGATCATGTGGCGAGCATGACTAAGCCGCTTCTGGCAAACCAGAGCAGCGCACGGAAACGCCGTTTACCTTCCCGCCGAAGCAGTACCTACTTATTACTTGCACTTTGACATGCTTTAGAACTGCTAGGTTGGCAGGAGCTGGGACCAAGCAACAGGAGGTCACCCTGTTGTGGGGATTCGAACCGCCAACCTTCTGATCGGCAAGTCCTAGACTCTGTGGTTTAACCCACAGCGCCACCCATGCCCCTAACCCAGCCTGTCCTTTTCTGTGAGCACTCACAACCACCCTTCACATAATTTATTAACCCAGCCTTAGATAATAAATTATTTGAAGGGTGGTTGTGAGTGCTCACAGAAAAGGACAAGAAGCCCAATTTCATTTGTGTTTCAGTGACTGAGCCTGGTCTTCACTAATCTTCACCTGCTGTGTGTGTGTAATTCCCCCCCCCAAAGGATACCGTGTGCATCTCCAGACATGCAGTGAACATGTACCTGGAAGCATAGGTGCCAACTCCCTGGAGCCCTGGGTGCCTGAGCACCCACAAGATTCCCCATGAAGGGGCCGGGCACCCACAAATTTCTGTGCCAGGGGCATGTATACTGCATGGCACCCACAGCCCCCGGGACCCATGGTCACGAGGCCAAGCTGGCACTCCTGCCTAGAAGCCATAGTATTCTTTCATTCTAGCATGTATTTATGGAAATGGACATCTCTACTTGACATTGTATGATTTGCCATAGTAAACACCAGCAGATCTGTTCTGCAACCAAAAGCATGAATTGGCCCTTTCATGTTGTATTCCTGTGCACAAGGAGTAGGGAAGGGGGAGAAATTAAATTAAAGGGGAATCTAACTAACCTGCACTTTCTGAAACAACACAAGGACCAAAACACAGACATCCTTCAGAATTTACAATTCTGAAAATTTTGCAATGCAGTTCCCCAGGCAAGTAATCTCTCTCTCTCTCTCTCTCGCGCTGTGTGTATGTGTGTGTGCGTGTGTGTGTGTGTGTGTGGTGAGGTATGCATGAAACTGCATATACTGGTGAAAAGCATACAAACGTGCATTATATTAAGGGAAATTGCTTTGCAACTGTGTGTGTATTCGAATAAATTGACACTAAAATGCTGATGAATTTTCATGAGGACTTTAAAAACTAATTCACATTAAAAAACAACAACCTTCTACATCAATTTGTAAGTGTGGAGAAATGAACTCCAGATTGGAAAAATGAGAAACTGAAATCAGCAAATTTGCCCATCATCACATGGGTGTAAGCTCAGTGGAAACTGCATGGCTGACCCATGAGGAAACATGTATAGGATTGTTCTCTCAGTGAAGCAATGCTGGTTTTTTTTGCTGTTGGTGTTCAGGCTCACTGGTTGAATTGGCTCATTTCTGCTACCTGGTTTTCCGCCAATTTCTTTCTCATGCTTCAACTTACTCACTGGGAAGAGAGAGTGAAAGATGGCACCAAGAAGCAATGAAGAAACACTCCTTTTCTCTTGAGTCAGTACTATTCTGTACTAGGGGATCCTCAGATTCTACTTCTTTCTCACATTACATCAGCCCTTTAACAAGCACAAATCAAATTTCATGCCAAAAAGAAAAGAAAGAAGGAGGATTAGATGAATAATGGAGGGTGTGGGGGAAAGAGTCAAGTAATTATTTCCCTATTAAATATGCTGGAATACGGTACAGGGAAACACCAATTATCAATGAATAGGTTTAAAAATGTTTCTACATTTATGTAATGTGGTTTCAGGGTTGGGGGTGCTTCCTTCTCCCTGCTCAGAACCCCTCCCCCTGCAGTGTCAGATGAACAAAGATATCACTGAGAAAATGACATTCTTCCATTCAGAATAGGAATCATGGAAAGATGCTATATATCCTAAGTCAGACAATTGGTCAATCTAAACAATATTTTTTTTACTCTGACTGGCAGCTGCTCTCCAGTATTTCAGATGGGGATCTCTCCCAGCCCCACCTGGGATCTTTTGCATGCAAAGCAGATGAGCCACATCAAAACAACATAGTGAGCCACAGTGAGCCACAACAAACAACATAGTACATTAGAACCAAACCATGTAGAAGTGTGGCTTCTTCATACTCAGGTGTCTCTGACCAGGTTTATATATTCTTCTGGACCACTCCTTTACAAGTCTATCTATACACAAAGTAGATAACAAATGGACTAAGAAGAGCTTGTGTCCCCTTTTCTCTGCATTTCATCACTAACAGCAGCACACATGTCTCTCCAATGTTCTCTTCAAGGCGTCCTTCACCTCTTTGTTCCTCAGGCAGTAGATCAATGGGTTCACCATGGGAAACACCACCGTGTAAAACACTGAGATTATTTTGTCTGTGTCCATGGCATAGCTGGAACTAGGACGTAGATACATGAATAAGAGGGTGCCATAGAAAAGGGCAACAGCTGTCAAATGGGAGGTGCATGTGGAAAAGGCTTTCAGGCGGCCATCGGTTGAGGGCATCCTCAAGATGGTGCAAAGGATGCAGGCATAAGAGATGATGATGAGCACAAATGTGCTCATTTGGATGAATCCACACAGGGCAAAGAGTAGGATTTCATTGAAGTGGGTGTTGGAGCAGGAGAGGGCCAACAGAGGAGGGATGTCGCAGAAGAAATGGTTGATGACGTTGGAACCGCAGAAGGAGAGATGGAAGGTAAGACAAGTGTGCACCAGTGAGGTCATGCTGCCTGTGAGATAGGAGCCAACTACCAGACATATGCACACTTTGCGTGACATGAAAAGTGGATAGAGTAGTGGGTTACTAATGGCCATGTAGCGGTCGTACGCCATGGCAGCCAGCAGGAGGCATTCTGCATCTGCAAAGGCAGCAAACAGAAACATTTGCACAATGCATCCTGCGAATGAAATGCTCTTCCTCTCTGCTATGAAGTTGGCCAGCATCTTGGGGTAATGGTGGAGGAATAACTGAGGTCCAGGAATGCCAGATTGTTTAGGAAAAAGTACATAGGACTGTGCAGAGAGGGACTGATCCAGATTAATGTGATGATGCCAAAGTTCCCCACCAAAGTGGCCAGAAAGATGGCCAGGAAGAGCACAAAGAGAATGGTCTTGATCTCCTGACGATCTGTGAAACCAAGGAGAATGAACTCCGTCACTGCCGTGAAATTCCCCTTGGCCATTTCCTCCCGTTTTTGTTTCATTGCATCTGGATCTATGGTAGGTGAATCAAGAAGAAGAATGAGCTGTGTGGACAATGAAATGGTTTTAGAAAGTAGTTTCCTCTGCCTCTCCCTCAAAACTAGAAGAAGGAGAATAAATATTCTCAAAAGCTGCCTTGTATATTTTATAGGGAGGTGTGCGATATATGGCAAAATTAAATAAACAAACAACAACAAATAAATAAATATTACCCTTGTGAGAACATTTTGGGCATGGTTGCAGTTGCTTGAAGGAGCAGTTTGGGAGGGCTCTTTGCAGAGAACTTTGCAGAGAACAGTCTCCTTTTTGAAAGATGTCCTCTATTTGAAGGGCTACCTGGATCTCAGCCAGGCTATCACATGACGGCTCCTGAGGCTGCCTGACCAGTAGTAGCTGGGAGGAGGGGGCAGCGCCCATGCTCCTGGCCTCCTGTCAGCAGAGCTTCTTACTGGGAGTATGAGGCAGTGAGGGGGTTAATGCTGTGCAAGTGCACTGGTGGAGCCACTATTAGTTTAGTAACTTGGGCCACAGCTTAATTGGGCATTTCACAAAGGAGATCTACAGAACTCTGATTGTGGTATAAACTATTGCTAGAGTGTGTAAAAGTACCTTAAATGGTTAATTTGTAAATGCTATGGCTCAAGTGTGATTAGAAACCTCACTTGCTGACCTGAATTTGCCTTCTCTCTTTGATGATAAAGGACACTTTGCACATGCTCAGAGCTACTGTATCTTCCTTATTGCCATGTATTTCTCAGAGTTGAGCCTTGGCATTAAAATATTTTACAGGGCTTCAACCTCATGAAATTAATCTGAAATTAAGCCAAAAATGCCACTGCATAATAGTCAACATGCTTAGAAATAAGTTGTCTTTCTGTGTGTTTATTGACTGCTCAGAACAACTTGCTGCCAATAGACGTCTGTTTATAGAACTTCATTCTGTATAACCACTTGCTTATTTTTTTAAAAAAAATACCCAAAGCAGTAAAATGCAAAAGCAGTACAAATAGAACACCTAAATGCCCTCATAACATTATTGGAAAGAATAGGTCACTTATAATATTGTATAGTTTCTTTTCACCCTATGCAAATTATAAGAAAACAAGTTTTCTTACTTTTGGAGGTTATGCTTTCCTGACATTTTTAAAGGAAAGCAATAATTTGATGAATTAACGCAATTTGAGCTCAGAAAACCATGTAGAAGAAAATACAGTAAGGTGCCTTTGTGAAGCGTTTATGAAGAATAGTCACAAGCCGGAATCTTTGAAGTGTCTGCATCAAGGAAGACAGCAATTTACCACTGTGTTGCAGCTGCTAAGATAGCAAAAATTACCATATTCAGGTCAATTTCTCCTTAAATGGTTCTCATTTGTGGCAACTTACCTGTGAAGCACGTAATGGATTATGCATTGTCTCATTGCAGGAACTGTTGCTTTTGAAGGTTTGCGTTAATCATCTTGCTGTTGAGACCAAGTCCCTGGAGAACTTGACGGAAGCTGGGGAAGGGTCCAGGAGGAAAGGGACTGTTGCATATCCAAACCAAAGAGTTACAGGTATATCACAATACTGCAGGGGTAAAACACGAATCCATGAAGGTTGGTGTCCTAAGTTTTTAGGATGGAAACACCAGTGCTCATATTAACAAGTGCTCAGAAAGCTTTTGAAATGCTTTCCCTTGTTTCCACTACAGGAAAACAGCCCTAAATGGCTCAGGCGCCAAATACCTGAAAGACCTTCCCTAAAGACCCTCTCAGGTGCTGAGATCAGCAGAGGAAGCCCTCTTGGTAGTTCCTCTGCTCTCAGAATCTCAGGTGGTGGCGGCATTCTCTGTGGCAGCCTTTTAATTTTATTGTTTTTTTTATTTGTTTATTTTGTATTGCTGTTAGCCATCCTAAGCCCGGCTTCGGCTGGGGAGGGCGGGATATAAAGAAAAAATTATTATTATATTATTATTAATTTGTGGAAGTCCCTCCTCACAGAGGTGTGTCTGGCACCTTCATTATACAATTTCTGGAGAGTGCTGAAGACGTACTTCGTTACTCTGGCCTTTGAATCTTGTGGTGTATGTTTTCAGGACCCACCTTATTTTTATGATTGTCATTTTTTTTAATGATGTTGTGCTTTAATGTGATAACCCACCCTGGAAGCTTAGGATGAAAGGTGGGAAATAAAAATAAATAAATAAATAAAATAATAATGAATGTGGACTTCGGATATGTGAATGTGACACAGGTATCTTGGCCCTACTGTCCAGCATTCACCAAGTGAAGTTTGCTTCTGGCCTAGATTGGAGTGGTGGTAGATGTTCCTCACTGCAAGGGTGATGGAACACATTGGGTAGCACACCCCCAGAGACTGATGGAACCTGTTGGATTCCTGAATGCTCTGCCAGGCTTTCCAGTGGAGAAAGCTGTTGATCATGGTCTCGCTGTGGAATGGGAAGATGAGACAGGTGGTTGATAGAGTCACTGCTAAATGTCCACTCCAGCATTGTGGAACCCAAGTGACTCTGGGGTATTCTGGTGAGCTACAGGCTATGAAACAAGCCAGATGAAGACTAGAGTACAAATGATGCAATTCATATTTTGAAGTCAACCCAACACTGGTTAGTACACAGAATCATGTCTCCCATGTGGCAGGTGTCCTGAGCACACCCAGCCCAAAGATGACAAACGGATGGTAGTTTAATTCTTTATTGACAAAGCACACACAGTAGGTGCACTAAACACACCCGCTTCTGGTGCCTAAGTAGCTTGCATCCTCTCCTCAGACTTGTGCTCCAAGCTGGACCGTTGGAGCAATAGCACGGCCATGCCTCTGCCCAAACTTATGTACCATCATCTGATGGCGCGCACACAAGCAACCTCAACTTCTCCTACACAGAAGTTGCTGCTGTGCCTGCTTCTTCAAGCCCTTTGTGGTCCTGGAAGACAGCAAGGAAGGGACGGAAGGCAACCAACCCCCTTCCTTTGGCAAGTGGTCAAGAGAGGAACTGCAGGCATTTTGAATGTCATGCATTATCTAGATCATTCTAATCTGGGTCCACACCTGGCCATGAGATGGAGCCAGTCTTGGTTGCTCTGATGGATGACCATTACCAAGAGTGGGACATGGGAAGTTCAAGCTTTCTCCTGCATCTCTGTCTCTCTGTGACCTTGGATTCCTCCATCTTGGGCTGGCTCTGTGGGATGGGAATTGAAGGCACTGTGTCCTGGTAGTTCTTGTTCTACCTACTGTACATGGTCATGTCCAGCAGCATTGGGGAAGTGCTTTTCAGCACCCTGGCAATTATGCTTTGGAGTGCTGCTGGAGCACTGTTGTATACCCAGTGTGTGTGTGTGTGTGTGTGTGTGTGTGTGTGTGTGTGTGGATCTAGCCTTGAAGATATAGCAAATATTTCTAGAAGATTACAAATTCACTTAAATGGAAGTTAAGTACTTAAGTGCCCCATGTCACCAGACTAGAATACTTGAAAATATTTAAAAGGTAATCCATATCGGTGGGTAACTTACAGAGAATTGCTGTACTTTACAGGGGATTACAATACCATCAGTTACATGAAATGTTTAAATTAGATAGAAAAAAAATGTTTGTCACCCCAAAGCTCACAATTCGAAAAAGAATTTCTACAAAACAAAGAGAAACTTTTGTACAAAATATATAAGTTGTTATTAGACTGGGAAACAAAAGACGGGCGTGTTAAAGCACACTGGGCGATAGATATAGGACAAAACATAGATTTTAACCTCTGGGGGAAACTGAAAAAGTGATTTGAAGTTTACAGCATGTTATTATTTGAAGGAGAACTACTTGAAAATGATTTACAGATAGTATCTAACTCTGAGTAGGCTTGCAAAAATGTATAAGGCTGAATCAGATAAGTGCTGGAGATGCAAAGATGTGGAGGGAACATTCTTTCATATGAGGTGGATTTGTAAAAGGGTAAAAGAGTATTGGGAAATGATCCATAATAAACAGAGTCTTTTCTGCTGGGGGTAACTCAGACTGAAATTCCCAAGTGTCAAAAAAGGTTATTTATGTATACTACTACTGTGGCCTGTGTTTTGTTAGCCCCAAAATGGAAAACGAGCGAGGTCTCAACCAAAGAATGGCAACTTAAACTGACAGAATATAAGCAGCTTGGATACTTAACATATAGACTAAGAGAACAAGAAGAACATGTGTTTAGAGAATATTGGAAAACATTTATTGAATATATGGGAAATAATTGTGTACAGCTGAAAACGTTGGCAGCATTAATATTATTCAACAGTATAAATAGTGGTGATGGATGCAATAATGGAATACTGAATGGTATAGTTTTTGTAAAATATGCAGGGATTTATGATACGTAATGAACCATGGAAAGGGAAGAAGGAAAGTCATTGATATTTTAAGGATGTAAAAATGAGTATTTTAATTGTAAACTAGAAAATTTAATAAAAAATATATACAAAAAAATAAAAGCTCATCCATATGACTTGAAAACCTTTTAAAGTAGCAAGCTATAGTAAGTGAGAAGATGCGCTTTTACCTGTTACTCTCTTCATTGCCTCCTTTACCTCCTTGTTCCTCAGACTGTAGATTAAGGGGTTGAGCATCGGGATGACAAAGGCATAAAATAGAGAAGCCGTTTTATTCTGATCCCCTGAATAGTTGGAACTGGGCTGTAAATATGTAAATAGGCCAGTTCCATAGAATATGATCACAGCAATCAGATGGGAGAAGCAGGTGGAAAAGGCTTTCTTGCGGCCCTTGGCTGACTTTATCCGGAGCACCGTGAAAAGGATGTACAGGTAAGAACTCAGTATTATCAAGAGAGAGCCCAATATATTGATTCCAGCAGAAATGAAAACTAGTGTTTCAGCTATGGATGTATCAGAACATGAGAGCTTGAGTAGTGGGGGGATCTCACAGAAGAAATGGTTGATTTCATTAGACTGGCAAAAAGACAAAGTACCTACCAAAGTGGTATGAATGA